TCCAGGACTCTCTGGACCGCAGGCCGACACTCTAACCGCTGAGCCAAACCGGCCAGGGCTGTATTTGTCTTTTGCTGTCTGACATTTCATTTAGCATAATACCTTCTGGGTCTGTCCATGTTGTTGCAGGTGGCAAGGTTTCATTGTCTTTTATGGCTGAGTCATATTCCATTGCATCTGTGCACCACTTCTTTATCCATCTGCCTATCAATGGACACTAGGTTGCTTCCAGATCTTGGCTATTATAAATAATGCTGCAATGAACATAGGGGTGTATATATCTTTTCAAATTCATGTTTTTTTCTTCAGAGAAATACTCAGAAGTGGGATCAGTGGGTCATGAGGTAGCTCTATGTTTAATTTTCCGAGGAGCCTCCATACTGGTGTCCACAGTGGCGGCACCGGTGTAGTCCCACAAACAGTGCACAAGGGTTTCTTTTTCTCCACATCCTCGCCAGATGTTATTGTTAAAGTGACTTTTTTCTATGCTGATATACTTCTGCAAAAATCCTTTTGTTTTTCAAGTAAATCCCAAATATTACCTTATGTGTCAGTCCAATCTCAGAGAGCACAGAAGCAACAAGGGGTGTTAAGTGTCAAAGAGGCTCTTGAAAAATAGGAGCGAGGAAGAGTCAAACATGAGCTTGGGTCGGCATTAAAACTGGAAGTGGGTCACAGAATCACACTACCGGCCCGGCCCTGCTGATGAAGCAGGCGCACGGCTGGCTGGCGCTCACCGGCACCTCGGCCCTCCCTCCTGCACAGGCCCTGCTTTCCCACCGCAGGTCACCCACTTCCTCTAGAAGAGGACCCCTCACGGGGCCAGCTGGTTCGTCTCATGCACAGACCGGTCTGTCTACAAACTGCTCTCTTTTACAAGTTTTCAAACACCTGGGCTACCAAAAGGTCTGTATGTTTATTTTATTTATTTTTTTTTTTTTATCCTCACCCGAGGACATTTTTCCATTTTTTGTTCAGGTAGAGTGGGAGGGAGAGAGAGGAACAGAGAGAGAGAGAGAAACATCGATGTGAAAGGGACACATCGAGTGGCTGCCACCCGCACAACCAACCAGGGCCGGGGACAAACTGCAACCGAGGTACGTGCCCTTACCGCGAACTGAACCCGGGTCTCTCAGGACCGCAGGCCGACGCTCCAACCGCTGAGCCAAATTGGCCAGGGCAGGTCTGTATGTTTAAATAATGAAACTTAAAGAAAACCAACCAATAGTAACAGTGGTTATCTCTGAGGGGTAGGATCACGAGGCCCGTATTTGTTTTTATGCAATTTTTAATATTTTCTAAAATGTATATGCATTGCTTTTAAAAAAAAATTGTTGTTTTATCAAGAGGCCTGGAGGCTGGCAAACAATGTCTGGATCCCTACTTCATCACTGGAGAAACAGCACAGAAAGGGGTTTCCTAGGCTGGTAGAGACATGGTGCCCACTTTCTTTAATTTGTTCTTCCCAGTCCAAGATACTAAGGTCTTCATAGGGAGAAGAGAAAAGGGCCCTACCTTTTCCTCACAAACACTCATGCACTGAGTTCCACAGAAGCGCTCTAGCAGGGCGGTGAACATGGCCTGGGCCTGCCTGCAGGAAGCTTGCCTAAGGAAGCCGGAGAACAAGACAGCAGATTACAACAGGCCCTGCCTGTGGGTGCCAGGGGTAGAGTCCTTGAGCCCAGAGGCTTCTCCTTGCAAGACGAAAAGAGGGTGAGGTAGTGGAGAGGTGCCCATGCACAGTTCATGCCAGGCCTTCCTCTCTGTCATTTCCTCTGGCGGATCTCACCAGATGGCAGAGGCTGCTTAGTGCCCTTCCAGGTTTAGAAAAGTCAAATGTCCAGAGTGTGGAAGGCCTGCTCTCCCCTCCCCCGCTGTGACAGTTACCAGGCAGGCTGTAGAGAGGGCTGTTTGCCAGGAGTAACAGGAAAGAGGCATGACCACTGCCTGCTATCTGTGCCGCTAAGCTTAGCAGAGGTGGAGCGGTTTCAACACGGTCAGCAGGGACGGGCACCGGGCTTGCACACTGCCTGATCACAGTGGAACGCCTTGGGCCGATAAGGAACAGTTTGCCCAAGGTTGGTTTCCAGAGTGTGACAGTGAGCATAACGTGTGCAATAGCCAATCATTTGTGAAAGAGAAAGACAAGCTTACTATCAGAGATTAGCTCTGGAAGGGTCAACAAACTGGCCCCACTGGAGGCCTGGAGCAGGTCACTAGTGGATGTAGAATGGGGTAGAAGACTTTCTTTCCATGAATACCCTTTTGGTTTTTAAATATATTTTCTTTATTGATTTTAGAGAGAGGAAAGGAGAGGAAGAGAGAACATTGATTAGCTGCCTCCTGCACACCCCCCACTGGGGATTTGGCCCACAACCTGGGCATGTGCCTTGACCAGGAATTGAACCAGCAACCTCTTCATGCATGGGTCAACGCTCAACCACTGAGCCACACTGGCCGGGCATGATGAATATCATTTTGTAACTTTTGAACTCTATATCATGTATATGTAACTCACATATATTTTTTAGTCATACACACATGTGCAAACACATACTGCAAAAGAACGGGATCACCTGCAAAGCTATGAACGACTTCTTGACCCCTTCTAACCCGTCTCGAAGCAGAACCCTACGTCCTGCTCTAGCACTGTCCTTCCCCGTGCCCTCCTTCCACCCATGATTGCCCACGGTAGCCTAATTTCTCCTCCCAACCCCATGCATCTTCCCCGACCTCCCATGACCAGAAAACAGAAGAGTATTACCCATTCCAGCTCTTCTCAGCACACCTAAATTTTAAAATATCTGTTCTATGTTGTCATTGAGAGCCATGTAGAACTCACTCCAGCAGAAGTTACCCTCTCAGATAATCTGCATGAATTAACAGTGAGCCTCAGCCAGAGAGCTACTGATTTTAGGGCAGGATCACAGTGCAGGGCGAGAAGCACTAGGCCTGAGGGTCATGTGTCCTGGGTCTTATTCAGCCTAAGTGACTTGGGGCAAATCAATCCACCTCTCTGGGTCTCGACTCCTTAACTTATACAGAAGGGGGCTGTAGCTCTGGCCGGTTTGACTCAGTGGTTAGAGCGTCAGCCAGTGGACTGGAGAGTCCCGGGTTAGGTTCCTGCTAAGGGCATGTACCTTGGTTGCAGTTTGGCCCCGACCCCATTTGGGGTCGTGTGGGTGGCAACCACTCGATGTGTCTCTCTCACGTCCATGTTTCTCTCTCTCTTCCTCCTTCTCTCCCTCCCGCTCTATCTGACTATAAAAATGTCTTCGGTTGAGGATTATAAAAAAAAAAAGTAGGGGGCTATAATAGAATATCTTTCCAGATCTAACATCCTGCGAAATTCCACCATACATGGGCTGCTTTTCTGATTTCCATCCCCTCTGAACTTGGTGTACTGGGTGTGTTAAACAGCACCGTCTGAGAAAAATATAATGTAAGCCATATGTAAATTTAAACATTCGAGTACTCCCACAAAAAAGTAAAAAGAAACAGGTAAAATTAATTTTAATAACAGATTTTATTTGACCCAATATGTTCAAAACATTATCATCATTCAACATGCAATCAATATAAAAATGGAATTCCCATTCTTTTTTTAGTACTCTGTCTACAAAAGTCAGCGTGCATTGTACATCTAAAGAACACTTCGATTGGACCAGCCACGTCGCGGGTGCTCACGAGCCACACGTGACGGCCGCGGTACTGGACAGCACAGGTGGACAGGCGAAGGAAGCCCTCCCGCCACGCCCGCCCATGCCACGCCCAGAGTGGAAGACTGAGGTATGCACGCCTGCATCCCGGGAAAAGCCGAATCGCCACAGAACCTTTGGTCCGAGTTCCTTGTCGGACTAGGACAGAGTTCAAGACAAACATAACCCAGAATCTGAGGCCAACAAGCACAATAATGGGGAACTTCAGGGGAGAGACAGAAAAACAAGTTGGACGTGGTCATATCTTCTTTATACTCAAGGTTTTCACAAGACAAACCCCACACACTCACCAAAAGCACACAGACCTCTTGTCGCATCAATTGTATCAATTCATTCCTTTAAACACCTCCACACACCCAACTCCCAGGCACTCAGCTGGGCAATGGGGATGCAGCTACCCCTCACGAGAGCGCTCACTTGGGTCAGGATAACACGTTAAACACTTCATAATTAGGATCTCAATTACTCATCCAAAGCCCCTGTGAAATAAGAATGCAGTTACAGATGAGAACACTGAGGTTCAATCACTTTCCTTTTTTTTTAAGAGAAAGACACATCGCTTGGTTGACTTCCTGCAGGCACCTCAACTGGGCCAGGGATCGAAGATCAAACAACACAGGTATGTGCCCTTGACCGGGAATCAAACCCAAGACCCTTTGGTGTGCAGGCTGACACTCTAACCACTGAGCAACACTGGCCAGGGCAGTTCAACCACTTTCCAACAGTCATACAACTAGAGACTGGTGGAACGAGGACCCAAACCTGACTCTTAGACACAGCATCAAGCCATACTTCCCAGCTTCAAAGAGCTCAGTTGCTAGAAGCAACGAAAGATGTCACAACTATGAGGCCATGGAGGCACTACCACAAAAAGGACATGAAATAGGGGCTGGAAGCAGAGGACATTAGGAAAGGGTTCTCAGAGGTAACCTTGTGTAAGTCTGAAGGTTGAGGAGCTCACCAGGCAAAAAGGAGGGCAGGACCTTGCACAGGGAACAGCAGAGGTGTGAGGAGGGTGCAGTGTTCAGAACACTGGTTGGTGGGGCCGCTGGAGGGCAGTATGCATAAGAAACAGAGGCCCACCCTGGCCAGTTTGGCTCAGCGGTTAGAGCATCGGCCTGCGGTCCTGAGAGACCCGGGTTCGGTTCCCGCTAAGGGCGCGTACCTTGGTTGTAGTTTGTCCCCAGCCGTGGTCGGTTGTGCGGGTGGCAGCCACTCGATGTGTTCCTTTCACATCGATGTTTCTCTCTCTCTCTCTCTGTTCCTCTCTCTCCCTCCCACTCTACCTGAACAAAAATGGAAAAATGTCCTCGGGTGAGGATAAAAAAAAAGAAAGAAACAGGGGCCCACATAAAAGCGGAGGTGTGAGCCAAAACCAGTGCCCTAGGGCCTGAAATTCCACGAAGAATGTAGGTTTTATCCTGAGAGCCATGGGAAGCCCTAAAGAATTTTATCTAGGGTAGAGAACAGGACCTGAATTTCATCTGAAGAAATCATTCTAAAGGAGAGATCGCAAAGCTTACCTGCCTCCCTTGCTCTCCTCTCCCTCAGGTTGTTAGCTCTGTTAAAAGTCCATGTGTAGAAGCATGGATTTGTCTCCTAGAGTGAACCACACCTAGGGACTTACTCTCCCAAGGGCCTGTGAAGTTTACTTACTCTACGTTCTACTAAAGAGAAGTTGCTGACTTGCAACTCTTGAAAATCAACCCACGATAAGCTAAAGGTACCTCCTATACTGTGTTCTTGGCCTCAGCACTGACAGAGATCCCAGCAGGAGGTGGTTTGCTTGGCCTTCAGCCCCAGAAAGGCCGGCCCCTGCTGGGAGCCTTTCATAATCATGATGGCATAGTAATATTTTACATTTGCTTACACAGAAACATGTAAGATTTCTTGAGGCCAGTGACAGATGCAGATGCTGAAACATTTCAGGTGCTCAAACACTGAGGTCCCATGCCTCCTCCCAGCTAACAATGAATAAAATTGTTCACTGCTTCCAAAACCCACGTCTCCCCTCTGCCCAGCCCCTTCTGCACACCCCTTCCAGCTCCCGATTACCCAGTTCCATTTTCAGCTCATCAGCCTCTAAGGCTGACCTACTTTTCAAGGCCACACAAGCAGAAAAACTTGTGCATTAATACAAACGACAGATTATAATTAGAACAGGACACAGAAAGGGGGAACCAGCAACAGTGTCTACCACAAGGCAAGGATACAGGCAGAATCTGGTAAAAATGCCAATGCACGAAGTACAAAAATACTGCTGCCCGGCGAGGGAAGGGCTTGACAAGAGGGAAAGACAGCAGCAATACTGAGTGTAACAGAACAGGGCTGGGACACTGACAATCGGAAAAACTGAGCTGAAGCCCAAGAAGCACCAAGCAAGATCACTTTACCCAGTGAGAAGAGCTAAGCAAACTCACTTTGTTCTCAATAGTCACCCTAGCAGTTATGAAAGCCTTGCCCTGGTATGAACAGAGTGGGCCCAAGCAGCTTCAAGTCCATTGCAAAACTATGGGAATGGTGTATAGATAAACAACTGGGCCAGATCTATGGAGAGGAGTATAAGGGGGGGGAGGGCGCCTCTTCAATGGCACTCTGCCTAACTAAAGGCCTGCGGAAGGGGCAATTTTCAGAGGTAAGTTTCCCAGGGGGTTTTTCTGAATTTCCAGCTTCATTCACACCTCAAACTGAAAAACCAACCCCTTGCCTTAGCCAAGATGGAATGTTTCATGGATGCACTCTCCATTCCCAAACCCCTCCTGCACAAGGGGCCTCTGAGAATAAGAGGGGCTGTTCTGGAGGGCTTGTGCCCTCTGGCCCAGCTTTGTTTCCACATGACCTACTGACACCTGCCAAAGTGGGGTGCCCAGGGGAGAGCAGTCAGGCAGCAAGACAGTTCGTGGGATTGAATCAGCTCTTCCTAGAATTAGGCTGGCCCCATTCCCACGGGGGCCCAGCCAGCAACAGGAAATTGGCGCCATGAATGAGTTCTCCCCTGTGGAGAGTGGAGAGGCCAGGGAGTGGAGAAAACCACTCAGTCACGGGTGGGGCCCTAGTAGAGAGAAGAAAACAGAGCGTCCCGGATCCAGTGGAAGAGCTGAGCCAGCTTGCAGAGGAAGGGCAGAGAAGAAGCAGCTGCAGGGAAAACACAACGGTCAGTTCCTTCCTTCACCCCTCACTCAGCCCCATTTCCCATCCCTTGGGAACTCGACCAACTTGGCACACATCTTTTTAAAGCATATTTTGATGCTTAATGTTACTTCCTCCTCCTCCCTCCTCAACAATAAAGAATTCGACTTTCACCCTGGCTGGTTTGGCTCAGTGGTTAGAGCGTCAGCCTGCGGTCCAGAGAGACCCGGGTTCAGTTACGCTAAGGGCATGTACCTTGGTTGCAGTTTGTCCCCAGCCCGAGTGGGACAAACCGAGTGGGTGGCAACCACTCGATGTGGCTCTCTCACATCGATGTTTCTCTCTCTCTCTTCCTCCCTCTCACTCTATGAATGCAAAAAGTGTCTTCGAGTGAGGACAGGAAAAAAAAGAATTTTACTTTCTCTAGGACATATTATCTGAATATACTTTCTTCACTTGGATGGCAATGACCTTAAATTTGCTGAAAAAAAGATTCAAATGTATTATGTTTTAATCTCTTCAATATACAAAAAACTGCTAATGTGTTGCTTCTGGTGAGATGAATTTAGAAAGAGACTTTTCTGTATCTTTAACATTTAGAGCTATATGACAGAATTACCTATTTGTATCATATTAATTATACCGAAATAAAGTAAAAATTACCTCTTTGGAATTAAGGCTAATTTGGATTTTTTTTTTTTCATTATTTGAATTCTCAATTTTTTTAATTTTTAAAAATTTATTTTAGAGAGAGGAAGAAAAAAAGAGAACCTTCTGAACATGCCCCAACTGGGGGTCAAAGACCTGGGTATGCGCCCTGACCAGCAGTTGACCCTGCCACCTTGTGATTAAGGAACAGTGCTCCAACCAACTGAGCCACTATGGCCAGGGCTGAATTCTTAATGTTTTAACTGATTTTTTTTCTTTCTTAAAAGGTACACATGATGAAAAAAAAAATTTTTTTTTAAATTCTCACCTGAGGACACTTTTTGTATTCATAGAACGAAGAGGGAGACAGGGAGAAATGAGAGAGACACATCGACTGGTTGCCACCCACACAACCCAACTGGGGCTGAGGACAAACTACATGCCCTTAGTGGCAACTGAACTTAAGTCTCTCCGGAGCGCAGGCTGACGCTCTAAAATCTGAGCAAAACCAGCCAGGGAAATGAGGAAGATTTTTTTTAACTCTGAGGTTCTATTCAGAGTTCAACCCTGCACAAGTAGGTGATAAAGTAGATGACAATGACTCGGAGTCAGTGTTCAAGGGTCAGCCGGGTAGAGGGCTTTTCCAGACCGCTCTCATGAACTGCGGCACTAGCCTCCCCTGGGTGAGCTGGGTCCCTCCTATAGAAGAGACTCCGGGAGAAACGGCCCAGGGGGTACCCCCACCCCCAAGAGAGCTCCCACAGCCAGGCCCTGTCAACTGCCCCTTCTCCAGGAAGGGCGAGGGGGAGGTAGGCTTCATCACTCACCTGGATCAAACCTCACCACCACGAGGCAGAGGATCAAGGCGGCCAGGAGGATCTTTCTGAAGGGCAGGGAAAGGAAGTGGCTCACTGCAGAGTCCCAAAGCCGGCAAAGCAACATCAGTAGTGACAGAAACTTGTGAGAGGAGCCTGGTCAGAGGGACAGAGAGTAACTGTAAGGTAAGTCACGGGGACCAGCTTCCTTAAATCTTAGCTTTGAGCTTGACTATAAGAGTTGAACAAAGGTAACACCCATGTAATTCATAAAGTGGTTCAAAGGAGACTCGGAAAGCTCCGAAGTTTTGAGGATCGGCTGTATCACCAGTGTCGTCTCTATTCAGGTTGGGTAAACCTGGCATACTTGGTGTTTTACTAAATATCCTCATAATCTTATAACATTATTTATATTTAGCCTAAGATATATACACAGAGTTACACAGAGCAATAGATGTTGATTATCACAGTAATGCAGGAAAATGAAGGGTATATAGTACACATAGTAAAGAACTCAAAAGTCCTGGATTATGAATATAAAAATGAAACTACACTAACAACCCAAGAACAAGTGGCACCAGTCAGTCCTCATAGAACATCCTGAAATTGCCATCAAACCCCCTTCTGCCCCTCCTCCTGAAGAGGTGCAGGGCAGAGAGCCTGGGTAGCCACAGGTAATCCCTGAGGCCAACAAGCCCTGTTTGCAAAGAAGTGATCCTGTCTGAGCAGGTTCATGCTCTTTAGCACACAAAGAAAAACACGCAGGAAAACAGGGTTACGATCTCCTAATAGCTAAAGGGTACTTTTGGGGGGAAATAATCTGCCTATTCTATATATTACCAAGGGGAAAATAACAAACAAAGATCAATAGGTGTTGCATCTTGGAGTGGTTTCTCTACAGAAGCAGTCTACAAATCTGCACTCAAATGTGCAGGGGTACGCTGTCCCTGAGGGGTGGACATCAATCACTGAGGACATTGAAGAAGAGTGACGCAGACAGGAGACTGGGCAGGGGCACCCAAACTAAAGATAGGTAATTTTTACCTCATAAGTCCAGTTACCAAGTTACCATGTGCATTTCTCATTTTCCTTTGGCTATCCCCAAGCGTACCTCAGCTGTGTGTATATTTGTGCCAGCATTTAAAGGAGGAGTAACATCCTACCCAGGCCAGCATGGTACAGGTTCTCTGATGAGAGGACCCCAAGGAGATAGTGACTTTGGGAGAAAAGAGTCAAGATCCTGGGATCCAGCAACACCTCCTCATATGAAGATTTTCTTTCCACCAACAATTTCAGAGGGCCTGGGCTTTTTAAGCAACTCAACAGGTTTCCTATTCTCTGATTTGTGAGTTACTCATATAAAGAATTGCTCCCAAGCTCCCAGGAATGTCATGATAGACCCCAAGGTCCCGAGGAACGCCCACAACTACACTTTATAGAAGTCCCGGAAGGAAGATAGCCTACCTTCCTGGCTTAGTTTCCAGTCCTCCGAGTCAGAGTGCTTGTGTTTCTGCTGTTGCCTTGCTGTGCTAATGGCCTGGAGTGCATCTAGCCGCTGCTCCTCACTGAAGGCTGCAGAGCCCACCACCAGCTCCTCAGCCTCCGACCAGCAGCCCAGGGGCAGCAGCACCCGCTGCAGGTGGAGTTCTGCCAAGGCTCTGTATTCTGGAAGGCCCTGATTGTCTGGGTCTTGGAGCCAGACACTGGCCACTTCCAGCACGGCTCCAGGCTCTTGCATTTTGCTATATAACAGAACACTGCAACCCCAAATAATCCAATCCAAAAAAAAGAACAGTTAGTGCTCCACAGTTCATTCATCTCTCATAACCACTATAGTTCTCTATCCAACTCCTCCCTCGTGTCCTCCAGCCCTTCCTTCTGGAGCACTGACACTGAAAAAAATCAGGAATTCCTAGAAAGTGTGACCTGGGCCCGAGGCTAAGGCAACTAGATTCCATTCTTACGTGGGCCCCTTGGCTAAAGCGACTAAATGACTCCATTTTTATCATCAATGAACCTTCCTCGATATTTTTCAATTAATAGGTTAATTACCCCTACCAATAAAGGAATTTTGCCTAAGATTATAGTTGCCCCATGTGTTGGGAGGTATTTGCAGTTTCCCAGTATCGGAAACTGCAAATCATGAACCCAGTGATTAATGCTTATTTTGACTTCTGTAATCATTGTTACAGTCACTATTGTACCGGTCCCCTGGGGGGAGGGGGGTGCAAAAGGGAGATGGGGCTTCTGTCTTTAAAAGCGAAGGAGCAAGGACAAAACAGGGCTGAGGATCTGGGGAAGCTGGTGTAATGGAGTGCTCCTTTACAATTCGGCTGTGCGTCTCTGGTCATCTCCCTGACACGTTACAACAGTAGCAAGAAGCTCTCTCTCTCTGCTCTGACCCCCACTCTGTCATCCCACTTCACATCTACTCCCCGTATCCTCTTTCCTCTAACCCACCCCTAAATTACTCCTTCATCCTTTAGTGCTGTTTTGAGATCTGAAAAAAAAATTTAGATTTGGAGGAAATTAGCAAGGGAGGGAAGAGAGGCTATATTAGGTACTAATTCAGAAGAAAACACAAAAATCCTCATTTCTGGAATGATCCAATGAGTCAGTAACGAGGACCTACCACAGCTCCAGAACTTTGGGGGGTAGCTTTTCAGGAACCTGGTAATACTGAAGAACCCAGGAGAGGACTTCCTGCCACCGATCCATTTCTGCCAGGGCCTGGATCCCCACAACACACAGGGAGCATTTCACCTCCAAGGTGCTGTCAGCAGAAAAACCAGTTCAGGTCTAGAAGTGGTCCCCCTGCACTCCCATTCACACCTCCACCCTGGGACTTCCCCAGCTCCCAATTTAGCAGCCATCACTTCCATCCCCCCCATTAGCATTCAAGAGGGCCTCACAATTACAACTGGTCTCATGGGTCCCAACAGAGAGAAAACTACCCATTCTCCTAGAAATTAAAAGTTCCTGTAAACCGCCTAGGGGCAAATCAACTCTTGTCCAGCATCTTTGTTACGCAGGTGAAACCAGGTTTAAGTGAGTGAGAAGGGGGGAGTACAACCTGCAGCACAGGTGTGTGGATGGAGAGAGCTGGAGCTAACAGTTAGCTTGGTGAAGAAATGGGGACGGGGCCTGAGTGTGGGAACAGGGACTCCACAAGTGGCCTTTTAGTACCAACCGTGCGGTACCTCCAGGCACTCAGAATCACAGCCTTCAGCATTTACTGCAACAAGCCCCCACACGACCCCTTAAATCACAACCAGGGGTCCCCAGCTTTGACAATCCTACCCAACATCTCCCTAGCTGATCTAATCTAACTTTACGACCCGAAGGGAAATGATGCCCCGAAGTCCCAGCAGAGGCTAGCAGCATTAGGAAGAGCGATGGAGAACCAAGGTTTGCTCGGGCTCATCCTTTCACCCAGTTCACCAGGCCCAGAACCCCGTTCCCACTGCTCAGCCAACACCAGAAGTGCACGACCTGGGGACGTGGCGTGCACCTAGGAAAGACTGAGCCTGCTGACGCCGTGATCTACCACCTAACACGCATCCCAGCTTCCCGCCTCGCCACCGCACTGGAGCAGGGAGCACCCTGGCTGAGCTCTGTGCAGGGCCTCCGCCTTCTCCTCTGTGGCACGGGCACAACGGCCTCTTGGAAGCCCCGGGGCGCATTCCGGGAACGACAGGCGCCTGAAATGCTCTCTCCCCACGCGAGCCCCGCACATACGTGCCCGCCGGCCCGTCCGCCAGGGCGCCGTCGCTCAGGCTGCGGCCCGCGCGCTCACAGGCGTGCAGCGCCGCCCCGAAGTCCAGGTGCACCACCAGGAGGTCGGCCGCCTCCTCCAGCAGAGCCGCGGCCGCCGCCGGCGCGAGGGCGACGCGCGCCGGGTCGGGGCTGCTTAGGGCGCCCCTGACGCCGCTGAGGGGGGCTGCGGCTGTGGCCGGGTCACTCTTCATTGCGGCCAAGCCGGCCCGATTCGGCCTGGGGAGAGGGGAGTCCTCACGGCCTTGCCCTGAAGCCTTCAGGGCCAAGACCTGGACGAGGAAAGAGTAGGGGCCACATCTAAGGCCAAAGCTGGGCTCGCCGGGCACCTGGGAACCAGTGTACACCTCGGGCGTCGGACGGCTGCGCACCTAGGACGCCTGGCCTGGCCTCTGCGGCCCCACGACAGGGACCGACGCACCCTGGCCAGGGAGCGCGGGCGCAGCTTCCTTCCTACAGCAGCGGCGCGGGGCGGGGCTGCGGGCGGCGCGCGGGCCTCTGGGAGCTGTGGTTTTCCGGCCGCCGCCCGGCGCTCTTTGACGGGCAGGGCAGGGCAGGGAGGACTACAACCACCGGCATGCCGCGCTCCGCGCACGCGGCTGTCCCGCGGGAACACGCCCCGGCTCCGGCGTTGCCAGCGGGGAATGTCAGAGGCGACGCTGCCTTTCCAGACGAGTTGGTCCCCTTTAACCAGACCTAGCAGAGGCCAGACAGAAGAAATCCACGCCCGCCTCGCAGCACCTGTCGGCGTGGCAGTCAGAGCCGCCAGGAAAGGCGCCGAAAGGAAACGTACCCGGTCACGCTTCCCCGGCAGGTGCCGCCTCCCAGGCCGGTCGCCTGTGTCCAGTGCTGGCACCCTGCCAAGCGCTTTGCCTGCAATCGCGTTTAGTTCTTCCCTCAGAACTGTTGTCCCTACTTTACAGGAGATGGAATTGGAGCTTATTTAAATAGATCGCTCAAGTCACACAACTAGTGACAAAAATAACGTCAATCCAGGGCTCTTTTGGCTCAGAGGCACATATTTAAGCACTATTCTGTTCTGCAGGATGGGGCCAACTGTATGCTTTCCATACAGGGAATTCAGATCCTCACACAAGCAAGTTACTTGCGCATGAGCCTTCTTTGTGTCACATAAAATAAGAGGTACAGTGTGTAATGCAATTTATAATAAAGTTCCAGAGCAGATCAGGTATTCAATAAATTATAGCTATAGTAACTATTATTAAATAATTTTACACAGTTACATAAAGTCACATTTATGTATATTCTGTACTTCACACAGGCTTTGCCACGCCTCCCAACTTCATATGACCTCTCAGCTTAATTTCTTCACAGTTTAATTTCTTCAGAGTTTAATTTCTTCACATTTTGAACTCTCTCCAAAGCTTCTAGAATTGTTTACTCCCCTCGTTATTGGACAGGCCAGGCACAGGGTAGGTGCCTGCTCACATCATGCACGCCCTTCCCTTGTCACCAGGTTTAGACATGCAAATCTGTTGGGCTTTCAGTTCTCTGTAGAAAGTCCTCATGAAAAGCAGAGGCAGAGTCTGGCTGCTGTTGCTCAGTGGTTGAGCATTGACCCATGCACCAAGAGGTCACCTGTTCTATTCCCGTCAGGACACATGCCCAGATTGTAGGCTTGATCCCTGGAGGCAGCCAATGTTCTTTCTCACTGATGTTTCTATCTCTCTCTCCCTCTCACTTCCTCTCTCTGTAAAATCAATAAAGGAAAAAATATATATATATACATATTTAAATACATATATATATATATATATTTAAAAGGAGAGGCAGAAACATCAAATCCATCAGACTTTAAGGAAAGAGAAGTATGGACCCCCTAACCCATGTAAGATGATGAAATTTTTCCACACATTCTTTTTGAACATCTACTAGGTGCCAGGCCCTGTTCTAAGAACTGAGGATCCTCCAGTGAACAAACAAGACAGAAATGTCTGCCTTTGTGGAGCTTACAATTCAGCAGTTCTCAACCTGTGGGTCGCAACCCTTTCACAGGGGTCACCTAAGACCATCGGAAAACACATATTTCTGATGATCTTAGGAACCAAGACACCGCTCCTCTATCCATCTCCAGGTGGGTCCGCCCACGTGCTGATATGCCCATATACAACATGAGGACCTGTATTAAAGGGTCACAGCATTAGGAAGGTTGAGAACCACTGGCTTACATCATAGTGAAAGGAAACAAAATAAAAAACAAACAAGTAAAATATATACAGTAGTTTGTCAGAAGATAATCAATGCTAAGGATAAATGAGTAAAATAGAGGCGAGAGACTGGGAGAGACAACAGTGGTGGGGTGGACTTGGTGTCTATGTTTAACTTTGTCTTCCAACAGTAAGTCCAGGGTTGGGGGCAGAGCAGAGAGAAACTGTCATCATCATGCTCAGGACTAGACCCTGTTGGGAATCACTATTCATTTTGAAACGCGCCCTTGGGACCAACATATTTTCAGGGTCACTTGGAAGAAGCTTCTCCTTAAGTCCCTCTTCTTCACCAGGCAATCTGCATTCCCAAACAGCATATTCCAGAGGCAACCAGAGAGCCCAGAAAGTGTAGATCAGTCAAAGACTGAACTTACCAAAGTGTTCTATCATCAGCTCTGCCTCAGATTTGACATCAGATGATGAAGATCGTTAGTAATAACATACTGGACTGAAAAAAAAAAAAAAATGTTTCTCAGAACTGGGTTTAGAAGTTTTCCCTAAAAAATCAAGAAAGCAGTAGAAGCACCAGAAAAGAGACCTCAGCTGGCTTGGACAGATCACCACTTCACTTTCAGGAGCATCACATCTAAATGGTTCCTCCTGGGAAAGACCCCTTCCTAATCCCCAAGAAATTTCTTGCTATTTCCAATTTTTTCCAGGAGGTGGCAGCACAGCCTTAAAAGAAGCAGATCTGCCAGAAACAAATTTGCCTACCTAATGGCTGCCACAGCTGCCAAAATGAGGTCAAGATATTTAAAGGGTGGGCAGGTTGCTAAAAATCATATTAAAATATGATTCTGTTCTACTTCTGTCTTTCACCCAATTTTTTACTATGCAGGGCTTCACAGGGCTTAACCTTTAGCCCTGTTATGCCCACAGAATGATTCTTCAACACACATCTACTATGACTCTCCTCCATCTCTCCTGTGTCTGGATGTACCCAGAATTTCTCAAGCTTATATATAGCAATCCTAAACATAAGCAAATTCATTCCACCTGCTGGAGAGTGAACAGATAATATAAACACCTAACCTGGGGAGGATTCCAAAATGGCAGTGGATTAAGTGGCCCTCTTAAGTGGATACATTGGCCCTCTTCGAGGAGCAAACTGGAATTACAACTAAAATACAGAAAAATTATACTGAATAACCAACTGAAAACTAACTGGAGAAAACCCTTATAACCAAAGATGTAAAGAGGAGCCCACATCAAGACTGATAGGAAGTGTGGAGGCACAAGAGGGCTGTCTGGGCTCCCATAAGCAGCAACTGAAATGCTGGAGTTGAAGCTCAGCTGCCAGGGTTCTGCCTGAGAGGTCTAGGGTCTAAACCTCAGGCTGGCTCCCCAGGAAAGGTGCCTACATAACACCTGGCTGTGAAATGGATTAAAGGTTTTGTCCAGAAGGGAGACAACTAGAAACATGGGGACATCTTAAAGATCCAAAACACTAAATTTTGTTTGCAGCCACTCACCTTGGGCTCTGGCATAGGGAGAGTAGAGTGGACTAGAGCTTCGTGAGGAGAGTTTGGGACTGGGGACTCTAGGAAGAGAGCTGGGAAGGCAGCCACCAGCATCCCTGTGCTGATGCATTCTCCACACTGCAGAAGCAATCTTTCTCAGGCAGAGTTTCCCACCAAAGCAGCTTTAGCCCAGGAAGAAGCAATTGCTCCACCCATTGAAAATTCCTTTGCCCTGACCTGTGGAGTTTATGACTGGCTGAGAACTACAACCTGAGGCTCATTAAGTGACACTTAACAGTCATCCTACAGACAGAGGCAGATCTCTGGGTGCTTTGAGTCTTTGTCTGACCAGGTCCCCTGCCCTGGGTTAGTAAAACCAGGACTTGGTGTTCAGCTTGGTCCTTCTATACACACACACGAGATGGAACCACAGCTGTGGACCACTCTGAAGAGGCCTAAAGTCTAAACCCAGTGGCCAGCTTCAGTCAACAATAGAGCAGGTCCCCTGGCTGGTTAGGCTTAGCAGTTAGAGTCAGCCCATGGACCAAAGCGTCCTGGACTCGATTCCAGTCAAGGGCACATACCTGGGTTGCACTAGGTTTGATCCCAAGCCCCAGTTTGGGGTTGTACAGGAGCAACCAAAGACACATAGATATTTCTCTCCCTCCCTCCCTTCCACTCTCTAAAAAGAAAAAAAAAAAATCAATGTGAAAATATCCTCAGGTTAGGATTAACAACAACAACAGAGCAGGTCCCAATAAATGTCACAAGCAGTATATCCACAGGGAGATTTGGACAGGCTCCATATCTTATTTCATGTAATAAGAACTGCACAGAAGCCTGTATGTTGTGTTGGGGTTGAGCATCAGTATCAGACAGACTGAGAGTTGAGTTGCATGAATGGGCCAGTAGCAGTCAAGACTCCAACAGGAGGGCCCACACAAAGCATACAAGGGACATTATTAAAGCATCCAGGTGTGATGATCAGGGAGACTGTGCCACTGGGTCCCACAGGTCACAGACAACATAAGAGCACCCTACCTAGACTGGGAGTTTTAGCAGATCTACCTAACACATAGAAACAAACTCAAACAGGCAGCCAAAATGGGGAAACAAAGAAACAACACCCAAATGAAAGAACAAGAGAATTCTCTGGTAAAAGAGCTAAATAAAATGGAGATAAGCAATTTATCAGATATAGAGTCTAGAGTAATGACTATAAGGATGGTCAACCACATAAAAAAGGATATAGAAACTATGAAAATCAACCAGGTGGAAATGAAGAATGACAGCAAAAATAAAGAATACACTGGAAGGAATAAACAGCAGGTTAGAGGAAGTCGAGGAATGAATCAGCAAATTGGAAGATAGGGTAGAAAAAAATCACTCAATCAGAGAACCAAAAAGAAAAAACATTTAAAACACAGGAGGACAGTTTAAGGGAGCTGTGGGACAACATGAAACATAATAACATCTGCATCATAGGAATACCAGAAGAAGAAAAAGGTGAACAAGTGTTAGAGACCTGATTGAAGAAATAATGGCAGAAAACTTACCTAATTTGGTGAAAGAAAAAGTTACACAAGTTCGGGAAGCACAGAGAGTCTCTAGCAAGAAGAACCCAAAGAGGCTCACATCAAGACACATCATAATTAAAATGCCAAAAATTAAATACAGAGAGAGAATCTTAAAGGCAGCAAGAGAAAACAATTTGTTACCTACAAAGGAGTTGCCACTGGGCT